GCACTCTACCTAGTGATACAGAGATTAATCCTCCGAGGGAAGGTAAGGAGCACTGCAATGCTATTACATTATGAACCGGAAAAGAGTTACCTGAGGTTGTGGATGGAACTCCAAAACAATCACATGGAAATGATATTAAGGGTAAAAAAATAAATGATAGCAAGAATGTAGAACATGAAAAGAAAGAAGAAAATCCAGTTGCATGTTCTAATAGTGGTAAGCAGAGTCCTATTGTGCCTCCCATGCCATTTCCACAACGTTTGCATAAACAGAAATAGGAGAAGGAGTTCTCTAAATTCATGGAAGTGTTTAAGAAGCTCCAAATAAATATCCCTTTTGCAGAAGTAATGGAGAATATGCCTAACTATGTGAAATTTTTGAAGGAAATTTTGTCAAAGAAAAGATAATTAGGTGATTTTGAGACAGTGGCACTTACAGAGGAATGTAGTGCTATTCTTCGGAAGAAGCTACCACCAAAGCTTAAAGATCCGGGTAGCTTTACAATTCCATGCACAATAAGCATTCAATTTTTTGGGAAAGCATTGTGTGATTTGGGAGCTAGTATTAATTTGATGTCGCTCTCAGTTTACAAGAAATTGGGGTTGAAAGAAGCAAAGCCTACTAACATCACATTGTAGCTTTCAGATAGATCACTCACTTATCCAAGGGGCATAGTTGAGGACGTTCTAGATAAAGTAGATAAGTTCATTTTTCCAGTTGATTTCATAGTCTTAGATTGTGAGGAAGATAGAGAAATACCTATTATTCTTGGGCGACCATTCTTAGCAATGGGGAGAACACTTATCGATGTACAAAAAGGTGAGCTAACTATGCAAGTCCAAGATCAAGAGGTACATACAATGTATTTTTAGCTATGAAATTTTCAAAGGAAACAGAAATATATTTTCAGGTTGATTTGGTGGAAGATGCAGTGAATGGGATATTCATAGGACGTTGTATTTCAGTTCCTCTTAAGAACGCCAAGCGATATAAAGAGGAGGTGTTCTCGTATATAGTGGTTGAAGTCAAGGAAGCTAATTCGAAGAGAACTTTCAAGGTGAATGGGCAGAGACTGAAGCAATATTAGGGTGACAACATTGCTCATGAAAAAGACCTCAATTACCCTTGCCGACCTGGGATGAAATAGGAAGTAGTCAGGCTGAAGACTATAAAACAAGCGCTAATTGGGAGGCAACCCAAATTTTAGTTTTAAGTTTTATTTTATTTTATTTTAATTTAGTTTTTTTTTATAAGAAATAATGTAGTTAGTTAGTTAGTGCATTTTAATTGCTATTTCAATTGCCTGCAGGTCCCAAGGATTGAACATAAAGTTGGAGCACACACTAAGCTTTACTAAGAGCCAAGAACAGCCCACCTATGTTTCCCAAATACACTCCCTACTCAGCGGACGACGAGGACGCTGACGATGATGCGAACTAGCAAAGTCTCAGGGAAGTCCTCTGTCTTAATTTTTTCTACTTTATACATTGAGGACAATGTTTAGTTTAAGTTTGGGGGTGTTTTCTTGTTTGCATTTGCATTATTAGGTATGCATTTAGATTGCATATTTTAGTATGACTTGAGCAATGGGTTGATTTAATTTGATTATGGCCAATGATGAATGGAATCAATTGTAAATTTAAGGGAAATTGATGAACATGTTGAGTTTGTAGGTTGACATACTAGCTGATTTTACACTATTTGTGATCTTTTCATTCATGAACACATATCTAATCTGTTTGGTTAGTTATTATTTAGAGAATTTATTTGGTTAAATGCTTGTGGGAGATATCATTGAAACTTTAGAAAACTTATTTAAGCATCATTCAAAGCGAATTGAGGTATTCATATAAGTTTGGGGAAATATTGGTTACGTTGGGTTAGTTTAAAAGAAAAGAAAAAAAAGTGTTTGAACATTATTTTTATTTGATCTTTCATGAGCTAGATGAAAAAAAAATAGGCAAAAAAAAACAAGAAAAGGGCATGTGATGAGTAGAGATGGAGCGTAAAACGTACTCACTCATAAACACATGTTGAGAACGAGATAGAGCATAAAAAGCACTCGTTCAAGAAAAGGCGAGATGGAGCGTAAAACGCACTCACTCAATAGGAAGTGAGATGGAGCAGAAAATGCACTCACCGAAAGAGAAAAAAGAGTGAAAAAAAAAAATTCTTTGGTCTTTCTATTTATATGGTTGCCTTAATGAGTAGAGGTTAGTGTGAAACGTAAGTTTATAGAGTTGATATTGAGTATCTCCTACGAAGTATTTGATTACGTAAATGTATTTGGATGATGACTAGCTTGATAGTCCGGATATGTCCATGTATTTAAATGGTCATGACCGGAGGTAAAATTAGGGAGTATGTTGAATTAATAGACTTTACACTGTTTTGAAGTTCCCGTGAATTATTATTTGTATTAACTTTTGGGGCCATTATTCATATTCATATTGATCCATTGTTTGAGTAGTTGGTTGATTAATTGTTATAGTTTTTTTTTTTTAGCATTTTGCTTGAGGACAAGCAAGGATTTAAGTTTGGGGGTATTTGATGAGTGGGTTTTATACCTATGAATTGAGTACTTTCGGCTTAATGAAATTGCAAGCTTTCAATTATTTTATATTAATTTTAATTTTTTTTGTGTATTTTGATGTTATTTTGTAGGGATGATCATTTGTAAGGAATCATGATTATTTGGCAGGAAACAAGGTCAAAATGGGATCCTAAGTATTGGATTTTTGAAGAGGAAGCTAAAGGGCATTGTAATGGAGTAATTATAGCGTAAATAATGGATTTTAGAGCCTTGCAACTAAGTGTGGATGAGTGGTGAAGAGATGGACACATTACATGAGGATTTGGATGCTTAAAAGTGAAAGAAATCAAGGAGGTATTGGTGTTTGGTAACATAGGCATCAGCACCCACATTGTCTTGTAGCAGTACCTCGGTTTTCTACCTTTTTGACCATGACCCACTTCGAATATGACAACGTGCAAAACATGAAAGTTGTAGATCTGGATGTCTTCTGTCTGGTGGCAAAATGTCAGCTAAATCCGATGGTTGTATCAAAATTTATGATGATTCTACAAAAATTGGTCTGGAGCAACCAGCTTACCAAGGGGCGCACCCCTGCGCAGATTTATGGCGCCCCCGCGCTTGTTTTGGTCTGTGACACAAATTTTTCATTGTTTTTTACCCGAAATTGGACCCTAAAGCTACATATATGCTAGGGTTTGTGTGGGGATGAAAGATTCTGACTTTTAGGGGCTGAAAACATCTGGAAAAATCAAGAAATTCGAAGAAAATTGAAGACAAGAATCGAATGAATCGACGCGAAGAAGATTGGTCTTGAAGGCTAGAGAAGGATTGAAGATTGCACCTAAGTTTTCATTCTTTTCTCTTACCTTTAATTCTTGTTTCTCTAAGATGTTGTTTAATTTTAGAATGATGTCTTTCAATCACGTTATGAACTAAATTATTATTAAGATTGCAACGAAACCTATGTCTAGTTAAATTTATCTACTCTTGTTTCTAGTTCTTATTGATCTTATATGAGTTGTTTGTCATATTTTGTGATTGCTTATTTTGATCAATTTAACAACTTATTTTGATCAATTAACTGGAAAGAGAGTTAGAAAGATTTATACGAAGCATTAGGGGAAGTTGTAATCTTAAGTTCTTTTACATGGTAAATTCAACTCTTGATTATTAAGTATAGATTTAGTTTTAATTTAGTCATTCCATAGTTCAATTCCAATTGTTTAAATAAAATTGAATTGATACAATGTTAGTACTTGGATATTATTAGCAATAATTCTCCATGGGAACGATACTCTACTTATCAGTTTATTACTTGTTGATCTTGTATACTTGCACGTAAATTGTCAATATCAAATTCGGACAACAGGATACTCTCAAAGTTGAACTCAATTATGGCTGCATTCTTCTGGTCTAGAAAGGCAGGTGTGAGGAAAAGGCATTGGTGTGCATGGAGGGTGATTACAACGCCTAGAAAGGAAGGTGGACTGGGCATTACAAAGTTTCAGGAAGTACAAAGTTCATTTCGTATGAAACAGGTGTGGAACCTATTAAGTGGCAACTCTCTGTGCTCTAAAGTTTTTTCAAGTAAATTTCTCAAAGGTCGACATCCACTTAGGTCTCCTACAAGAAAGCATTCTCAAAGTTATAAGGAAATAGCTCCCTGGTTTAATATTGTTGCTGAGAATACTCTAACATTAGTTGGTTCTGGGGCTAACGTGGACTTTTGGTGTGGCAATTGGTCTGGTAATGGACCACTGGTGCTCAAAATCTCAGTGAAACCAATGGAGTTTCCAAAATTATTCCAAGTGTGTGTGGATGGTCAGTGGGAACTTGGTGAGATACATATAAATTTAGATGGACATTTGTTACAAGAAGTATTATCTATTCAATTGCTTCATGGAGAAGCCAATTATAGGCTTATATAGAAGCACGAGACCTCGGGTTGTTTTACTATTAAATCTGCACGGAATGTTTTAAGAATAGAGGGATAGATCAGTGTGCAAACTGCAACCATCTGGAAATAGAAAGTTCCCCCAAGTGCAAAATTATTAGGGTGGACGATATTTCACAATGCATTGGCTATGGACTCTACTTTTAAGCTTCGAGGAGTTTCTTTAGCTAGAAAATGTGTTTTTTGTAACAAAGACTATGAGATGGCAGACCATATTTTTATAAACTGTACTTATGCAAGTTTAGTTTGGAGTTCGATTTCAGCTCAACTGGGGCTGAGGTTAATTTCGAATTTGGATCCGCTCACTAGATTTATAAGATTTGTAAGAGAATTCAAACATTTATCTCTGAGCCATACTTTGTTAAGGGGAGTAACTATATTGGTGTACTGGCAATTATGGAAAGAAAGATGCAACAGGATTGTTGAGGATCACTGTCTTCATTATACTACCCTGGTCAAGAAGGTTCTCTTGTTTATAAGGTTACAGGTGCATATAATTAAAAAAAAGTGATGGATATTGCTAAAGATGTAGAGTTACTGCAATCATTACATCTCCCTAACACTAGTGCAGTGAGGATACGTACGTGGTGGATAGCTTGGAAATTCCTAGCTAATGGTTTGATTAAGCTTAATATAGATGGTGCTTCAAAATTTAATCCTGGAGAGTCAGGTGGAAGGGCAATTCTTCGAAATTCTATGGGCCAATTGATTCTAGCATGTTCCCTTTATTATGGTAATTGCACAAATATGGAGGCAGAAATGCAACCTCTGTTGAGTGGTTTACAACTTTTGAAAGATTATGGTCTTCAAGTATATGAGTTGATAATTGAGTCAGGCTCAAAATTGTTAGCTGACATGGTCAGTAAGAGGGTTAAAGTGTCTTGGAAGTGCTGGATCCTACTAAAACAAATCATTGCTACTCTTCAAAATTGTACATTTCTAATTCAACATTGCTATCATGAGGGGAACATAGTGGCAAATGCAGTGGCAAACAAAAGGGTCGTAGACAGACAATCTTTTACATATGATTCTATGAGCAATCTCCTTACATACATTCAACTACTCATGATGCAAGATTCAAGACAGATTAGAAAACTAAGGAAAAGAGTCTTATCTGGATGAGACTTAGCTTTCAGGTCTTGGACTCCTGTGATGGTTGTGGTCTGCAGAACTGTTGAAGTAGGAGCTGTTGCATCCTTAATTCTTCTCGTCTTGGTCTCAGTTTCTTATGTACTTGGTTTTCTTCTAGATGGTTTCTTCTTTAGCTGTCTTTTTCAGTAATTATGTCACTGGTTCGTTGTTGGACCAAATTTCAGATCTTCTCTTCAGGGTTGCAATTTTGATTTTCTCCTCAAAGGTCAAAACTCACATGTATTGGCATTGGATTCTTTTCATTGAAATTTCTCAATGTTCAAGCCCAATCTGTTTTTTTTGGGCCATATTCTCTACAATTCTTCTTGGATCTGACTCTTTGGACATCTTGGAAGCCTTCATTTCTTGGTGGTCTTTAATGGATATTCATCTTCTACAGGTCTCTTCTTTGCTGCATCCATCGCAGAGGACGCCAAACGAAATTTCTCTATGGTCTTCTTTGTAAATCTGTTGTTGGACGTTTTCTCTTGGACTCTTGATGGATTTTTATGTTTCTCACAATGCCTCTATGGTCTAGCTACCTTATGCTTTGTTCATCGTACCATATCAAATGTCTCCTATTTCGAGAGAAGTCAATTGCTTTATTAGATAAGAAGTGCTTCATTTCAGCCGCCTTATCAGCTACCCCTTCATATGCCCTTATCAGATCCAGCTCACAGCTTAAGGCTTACTCCTCCTCTCAGCAGGATCCCCTCGGCTCACTACTCACAGCTCAGGCTACTGTTTCTCTCACATTCAACTATCAGCTCAGCAACACTCTCAGCTCACTCTCACACCTACCGTCATTATTGTAGCCCATATTTAAGTTGCTTCTTTCAGCTCACTATACTATTTTAGGAGCAGCATGATTATAATTTATTTTTTCATTTATTATTTACTAAGCATCCATTTTGCTCTCTATTAAATTTTATTCTATGCAATTAGAGTGCATTGAGGGGGTAAGGTACATAAGTGCCCCCTGACTAGGTGTAATTTAATTTTTTAATCAATAAAATTCCATCGTACCATCAAGGTTCAAAATATATATATATATACATGCCAAAATTAAGTTTTCATAAGGTTTTTACAAAAACTTAAAATAAAGTCACATCTCGACTTTTCCTCCTCCTTAAGAGCCCGAATTAGAGCCGTCCACTAGATTGTATCCCACACTTGAAATGTTGTCCCATAAAGGGTGAGTCACGCTCAATAGGGTATCTCTAAAAGAGACTACTCCCTAACCTAGATGCATATGAAATGTTCACATGCAATAATCAACCATTCAAAACATTTCAATTAAGAATACGCATTTAATGATAACGATCCTATGACATTGCATGAAATTAGATGAGACTCACTCATGCACTTCAAGACAATGCAATGCCAATGTGTGTAAATCCACCATTGATGAAATACATCCAATGATCATCTTGAAATAAAAGTCATGTGTTTATAAAAGCAAATCATTGTTGGATGTTACACATCAAATGACTATTTTATAAAATAAAATCATGTGTCTTTGTTGCGTAATGGATCTTCGGAGTTTCACCGCCAGTTCTGCACACCGTTACACTTTTTTAGAATTTCACCTTAGGGGAGTGTATGAACCAGGTAGTTGTGTCTTGCACCCGAGGGAGACTCTAGCCCTGCTTGTAATACCCGACGCAAGTTTTTCATGCAACCGTGCCACTCAGTTAGAACATCATTCCAACTTTTTCTAAGCCCACCCATCATCCACCAAGTATGGTGTTTGATCAAACCATGCGTACACATGCCCACACTCATGCCCAATACCCATGAATGTGACGCCAACATCATGCCTAATATGCAATGAATGCCAAATGAGCAAATTCCACCATTTTATTGCCAATTATATCAAAAGCATACAATGTCCAAAATTCATCATAATGCTATCATATCATAGAACATGTTCGCATAACCCACGACGAGGAGGTTGACTTTTGTTCTTGGCTTGTGTTGATATGGGCACCGTAGGGCCGTAGATCGTAGAGAGAACGTTGGGTTTCTCTCTTTTTCCCTCTCTTCCTCTCAAACATTGAACCAGTAGAAAGAAATGAGAAGAAATCTGATTTGCTCCCCCTTTTTATACCCTCTAATTGCTTGGTCCACAACGCACCACACGTCTTCTTATTCTCGGGTCCGTTTTCACCCCGAAACGATTAAATTTCGTTCCAGTTCAAGTTCAAAATATTTTTATTTCAAATTACTTTAAATTATTTTCCAACTTTCAAAATTTTATTTAAAATTTTATTTTTGGGTCACCCAAGACCTGACTGTCTCGTAAAAAGAAAAAAATTTCAACTATCTCGGAATTCAATCAAAATTGACGGGTAGCTAGATTTTGCGAGATGAATTCCACGGTGAGGTCCAGTTTGTTATCCGAGCTCTAAAAAAATTCAGGTTGTAACCCATACCACAACAACAAATTATCCTTTTGCCCTTTTTCATAAAAAGTTCAAATTTACCCAGGTTTTATATTCTTTCCCCCTTAAAAGAATTTTGTCCCTAAAATTCATACACACATACACACTTAACCACATGCTTATGCAATAATTAATACTATACTTATAATTGTAAACATGTACGTCCATCCATGAACAAGAATAGATAACTAGTACATATGGTGTCCTCACACTCCCATGTCGCCTTCTCCATACCTCGGTGCTGTCACAGCACCTTCAATAGCCTCTCAGTCTTGCCTCGCAAAACTTCTTCCCAACTATCCATGATATGCACTGGTCTGTCCTCAAAGGTCCTATCTGCATCAACAATCAACTTACTACAATCCACCACATGTGTCAGATCTGGAGTACACTTCCAAAGCATAGAGACATGGAACATCGCATAAACACCAGATAAATTTGGTGGGAACGCCAACCAGTAAGCCACTGAACCCACCCTTTCGAGTACCTCGAAGGGCCCAATAAACTTTAGCGACAACTTTCCTTGCTTGCCAAACCTGACCATTCCTCTTTTGGGTATCACCTTTAAGAATACATGATCACCAATCTCAAATTTCAAAGGTCGCCGCCACTTGTCAGCATAGATTTTTTACCGGTTCTGAGCCATGAGAAAGATGTTTCTGAATCAAGTCCACCTTCACCAAGGTTTCTCTAATCAAATCTAGACCTGTGGAGGGTCTCTGTCCCACCTCCATCCAACACACCAGAGAACGACAAGGCCTCCCATATAGTGCCTCATAGAGTGTCTTCTGTATGCTCATCTGATAACTGTTGTTATAGACGAACTCCACCAAGGGTAAATGCTTTTCCCAGCTACCCTTGAGGTCTAGGATGCATCTAGATGGTCCTCTAGGATTGACCGTTCGTCTAGGGATGAAATATTGGACTTATCGTCAACTGTGTCCCTATGGCCCTCTAGCAGCTCTCCCAAAAGAGAGCCATAAACCTAGGCTCCCAATCCGAGACAATAAATACGGGGACCCCATGTAATCGAACTATCTCCCGTATATACCACCTGCAGAACTCCTCCAGTCTAAAGGTCGTCCACACCGCCAAAAAGTATGTCGACTTAGTAAGCTAGTCCACTATTACCCACACCACGTCTTGTCCCAGCGATGTCTATAATAAGTGGGTCACAAATTCCATTATGACGTGTTCCCACCTCCACTCAGCCACCTCTAAAGGCTAGAGTAACCCTACTGGTCTCTAGGGCTCAAATTTAACCTGCTAACATGTAAGACATCTACTGACAAAATCTCCAACGTGCCTTTTTATCCCGCTCTAATAGTATTAACGATGAAACTCATGGTACATCTTCATGCCACTTAGATAAGTCACAAAACGAGAGCAATGAAACTCTCTAAGGATCTCTTCTCTTAGATTCGCCAACTAGGAAACCACAACCTATCCCCCTAAATCGAAGACTAGCATTCCTGTGAATGGTCCAGCCCTCATCACCTTTACCCAACCATACCCAGTCCTAGATGGACAATATCTACACACATCCAAGTCCGTCCTTGGAGGCATCACAATACATTGTGTACCTCTAATACCAAGTTGTGATGGTCATCAAGGCCTAAGCTATATCATGGACTCTAAACCTCTTTCACTCTCGCAATGGAAGATGATAGACCTATGGCCTATGCTCTTCTAGTGTCATTTTATGCGGAGTCAAAAAATAGGCTATGCACTAGGGTGTAACTTAATAGTGAGGTCTACAACCCTGTGTGGAGATAATCCTGGTAGTTCATCCAAAAAAATGTCCTCAAACTCATAAATCACCTGAGGTAGATCCAACTCCTATCTCACCTCGTCCTCTAGAGTAAGGCTCACATGCCAACCCATCAACTACTCATGCCATCGAGTGTCATACACAATTTGGGGCAAAGCATCATACTTTTTCCCTGAAACTTGAAACAAACACCATCCGGTGTGTAGGCAGTTACTCTCTTCTGATCACAATCAATGACGACCAGATATGCTGCCAACCAGTTCATCCCAAGGATGACGTCGAATTCTGACATGTCTATAAACCTAAGGTCCACGATGAGTAAAATCCCCGAGATCTCAAACTCACATCCTTGACATATCTTAACAATGCAAACCTTAGCTCCTAAGGTTTACTTTTCCATAAGGACTCCTTTAGGGTTGTGATTTCTAAATCTATTCCATCAATGAAATGTGAAAATAATAGTATATGACACGCCTGAATCAAATGACACATGTGCTCATAAACAAGGAAGTAAGAAATGTACCGTCAGTTCTCGACTAATCCAACGGTTCATTCTGAGGTGTGATGGCGTGGACATGCCTCTGGGTCCCCAAAGTCCCGGCCTATAATCCCTGTCCTCAGCCTTTACCCAAGCCCTGGCCCATCTGACCTAACTGCGGAGTCCCTGCATCTGATGCAGTAGGGGCTTGTGTAGCACCCTGAAACTGATAATGGCTTCCGTGGCCCATGGTGGGGTAGGGAGTAACAAAGTAAGTCTGTGGCTCCCTCACCGACAATTGGGACTGAGATGTCATATAACTCTGGGATCCCTGCCCTTAAGGATAATCTTGCTTCCTGTAACCCGATTCATGGCAATGAAAACATACCCGTGGGCCTGCCTGCCTAAAAGCCTTCAAGTGTCTCCTACCTTAGGAGGACTGACCTTGGCCAACATCCTAGCTCATTCGGCCTAGTTGCAGAGTACCTACATGTGAGTACTAGGTGCTTGTCCAGTACCCTGTAGTTGGGACAAATGTCCCTAGTCCCTAATGGGGTAGGAAGGAACAACTTGTGCTTGTGTGAGTCCCACTAACGATTGGGATTGAGACATCTAGGAACTCTGTGAGCTTTGCCTCAAGGGATAATCCTTCCTCACATGGCCCAACTGTCGATAATTGAAACATGTCCTCTAGCCTTCTTGAAACATCCCCTTGAATTTCTTCCTTCCTTGGGACAAACGACTCTGGGCTTGGCCCTGCCCTTGTGATTCCTGTGCATCGGATGTCCTCTGCTTTTTCCATGAATGGTGGTGGCCCATAGAACTTAAACTCATTTGGATGGCTTGAGCCCCTTGGCTCATGTTGGCACTCACCTCTGCTAGGTTAGCAGCCATCCTACCCATAGTCTCTATAACGGCTTGTTGGTCAAAGGCCGATGATGGTTGGTTATCGTTCCGCCCACCTCCCTGGCCACGTCCTCTCCCTCTACTTGCCATCTACATGAATAATAATTAAAATAGCATAACACTATGCCTTTTTAGAACTAATTATACTTTGATGGAGTTTAACTAATGACTTTTCAGGGCATAAATTGTACAAGGGACTTTCATACAACACTAGAG